ACTATAAGGGCTATATTGTAGGGGTGTAATATAGGGGCCTTAATTAATAGCTACCTATGATATGTTGGGGGTTCCTGATTATATAGTATAAAGGGCCCCAAAACCCTCTTCTAGTTTTTAAGGCCCCCATACTGGAGGGGTTCCCTCAAAGGTTCCTATAAGGGTTGCTGAAGGGGTTCGATGAAGGTTGTTACAGTTTGGGCTTTAGGGTTCTAGAGATCTTTGCTTCAGGGTTGTAGGGTTTAGGATCTTCGAGCGTAGGGGCAGGAAAGTGTAGAGCAATGCCACGGATGACGCGCACTTGGCTTTTTGAGCTTTCTGTCGGAGGCCTCAAAAGGTGGGATGAAGGTAGGTAGGATTAAGGATCCCTTATATAAGGACTCTTATTTGGGAATATCCCACCTACCTTCATCCTACCTTTTGAGGCCTCCGATTCTGGCTTTTTAGAGAATTCTGCTGTGCGGAGGGCATTCCTTCTACCAAGCTCGTTTGACTCGGACTCTTCCCCGCGGTTTCGACCCTAAACCCCTGAACCCTAAACCGCCTAAACCCCTAAACCCTAAGCCGCCAGAGTACTTGAAGAAGCGTGCCTCCAGCCGAGGAAGAGATGTCTCTTCTTCATGAAATAGACGAGGAGGAAGCTCAGCTACGAGCGAAGGTAGACTAGGTTTCAATTCGGGAGAATGGTCAATTTCCCTGACTGTTTATCATAGGGCCCTAATCATAACTAATATTGGGGAACTGTTGAAATCGACACCACGATTGATGATATAAGTCCTGCATTGCCTTGATGATACTAGACGATGGGAATTGTGGTGTATTCCGTATTATGGGTAATGCAGGATTTGTATCATCAACCGCAGTATAGGGTTGAAGGTAGAGGATTTCGGGTGTTGTGCGCAGTCGGTTTGGAGGTCTGAGCAGTCGAGCCCACTTGGAGGATCAGGGGACTTAGTAAGTACGGTTGTAAGTCCCCTAGTTGGGGTTATAAGTATAAGTAATTATAAGTATAGTTACCTTATGTATACCCCTAGTTACTAAGTCCCAATGATCCTCCAAGCAGAGCAAATCCTGCCCATGACCTGCTAGGATTGGTTCAGCGAGGACCTTGAGGATGACAACGCAGGCCATTATTGTCATTGTTGTTATTATGCTTATTGTTGTTGTTGCTGCTGCGATTAATGTTGTTATTGTTTGCCAGTACTCCTACTACTACCATTACTATTCACACTGGCTTGCATGATAAGGGAGTTCCAACATAGTACGGATGGTAAGACTCAGGGTCTCAAACAAAACTCGTGCTCCTTATGTCTCTCATGAGAAACTAGGGGCATCTAGGATTGAATTTGGGCCCTAAACCCTAAACCTTAAACCCTAAACCCTAAAACCCTAATTTGGGCCGTGTCGGTTTTCCGGACGTGGTGCCGGGCTTAAAGGGGGGCTTAAAGGGGGCTTAAGGGGAACCCCGGAAGCAAGATACTTTGCATGTCTGGCATCTTAATAGTTTGATTTAACGCCCATTCCTGACTTAGGGCGCACTATAGAGGCCTGAATAAATACCTATATTATTGTGGGGGTTCCTTATTATGATTCTGGTGTAATACGCCCCCCCAAATCCTAGTCTAGCAATTAAGGCCCCTACACTAAACCTTTACAGTAGCCCTTGTAGGAACCCTTATAGACCCTTTATAGGAACCCTTTAAAGGAACCCTAATCCGAACTACTAACCCTAAAGTGGCTTAAGGGGTATTGTGCACCGGATCCTTGTCCTTCTGTTCATAAGGGATCTAGTAGGGTTCCTGGAGTTCCTTTAAAGGGCTCTATTAAGGGTACCTTTAAGGGGTTCCTGTAAGGGATCTATAGGGTTTTCGGGTTTTAGGGTATAGTTATATAAATCCTGCATTACCCATAAGAAGGAATGTACCATAATTCCCATAGTTTAGGGTCCTTAAGGTCATGCAGGATTTAGATCATCAACCGTTCGGCTGCAGGAGGGGAGTCTGATGCTTCTCCACCGAGCGAGATTGTGGAGGAGGAGGTGCCCCGGGGTAGGGGACTAATTAATACTTCCTTCAATCGGCCTTATTAAGTCCTCATTGCAGGTATTAAGGCCCCCATACCCCGACTGCTGAAGTCTGCTGAAGTTGACCCTGAACCCTAGAGCCTAAACCCTTTTTCACTGTTGTGGTGCACCGTCGGCATCCCGTGGGCGACGCCAAGAACTACGGACCCCAAACCCTACAACCCTTAATCCTAACCAAACCCCTGAACCTTAAACCCCAAACCCCGCAACCCTGAACCCGAATTAAACCTCAAACCCTAAACCCTAAAAACCCTGGTCTGTGGGGTCGACACGTGGCCCTGCATCTCCTGGCCGAATGGCTTTCTACCTGTGGAGTCCTGCAGTTGGAAAAGGGACCCTCTCCCACAAAAAAAAGAAAAAACGAAGAAAAAATTGAACCCGAATTCAATTTCAAACCCTCAACCCTAAAAGCCCTGGTCTTTGCGGCGATCCGGCCCAGGCCATTTTCCAAGCAGCCGCCAGCGCAAAGTCGATGGAGACGGCTTGGGAGAGGCCCAAAGTCCGCTTTGTCATAGTGGGGTAACATTTTAGGGTTTTGGGGTTTGGAGTTTGGGGCTTCAGAGGGTTTAGGTCGGATCCAGGGCTTTGAGATTTCAATAAAGTGTGACTAGGATGCCCAGTAGTACCCTTATTCCCTTTTTGTAGTCCTAGGTTCCTTTTGAAGTTGCCCAATACCAAAAAGAGAGGCCTTTTTGTTCTTAGGATACTGGGTATCCTAGTAGTTGGGTAACATTTCACATTTTTATGGGTACTTGTACCAATAAGGAATAAAAATGTACACTTTTAATCCTATCCCAACAATGATCTAGTCCGGATGCCTCCATACGGTTTAGGGTTTAGGGTTTGGGGTTTAGGGTTGAGGGTTTAGTTTAGGGCTTGGGGTTCAGGGTTTAGGGTTTGGGGTTTTCGATTTGTTGGTTTTGAAGGGGCCCTTTTCACAGGGTTTCTATGCTGCATGAGTTAGGAAGGATTTGTCCAGTGTTTTTGCTAAAGGAGTCTACAGGGCTTCCCCAGTATAGAACCGTAACTCATTCATAATATTACTCTTAGGGCTCTTTAACACTTATAGGGTTTAGGATGATATTGGAGTTACGGTTTGGTGTAGGGGCCTGAAAGATTGGGAACCTTATTCTTCAGGGCTGCTTATGATTTGAGTATAGTGCACCCCAAAGCCTATCTGATGATGAAGGCCCTATACTGCTTGGACAGACTGCGAAATGCCACACTGCTGCCGATGGACAAGCAACCCCAAACCTTAAGCCCCAAACCCTATGCCCTAAACCCTACTTAAAGGATCATGGGACTTAGTAACTAGGTTATAGATAAGGTAACTATACCTACAATTCATTATAACCCCAACTAGGGGACTTATAACCTTACTCACAAAGTCCCATGATCCTCCAAGTAGACCCTAAACCCCAAACTCTATAGATCCCTTTAAGGAACCCTATATGGCAGTGAGTCAAAAACTTCTGGTATGTAACAGGGCCGGGGCGCCCCTCGCGCGACAAAGTATGTAACAAAAGCGGGTTTCTGCGACAAGGCTGGCGCGACAAGGTCCAGCATGTATGTATGTGTACATGTGTATAGATTTATATTGTGTATATATTTAGGTATGTAGGTTCTGTGTCGTAGTGGCAGCAGTAGTAGAAGTAGTAGCAGGCAGTCGAGTAGAGCACCAGCACCAGTTGCATTTGGGCAAAGGGGCATGGGCAAGTGGGAATGGGTGGGTTTGGGAGGGTTTCGGCGGGTTTGCTCGGTTTTGAGTGGGTTTGGTTATGCTCTCGGCGGATTTGGGTCATTTCCAAAGTTTCGATTCTGGATGGGGGGAAAGGCCCAAATGACGGCGCCTGGAGTCTCTCCAAAACTCCAGATGGGGTGGCGGCCTTTCCCAGAACTATCCTTCCATAGCCTAACGGGCAGGCGGAGGCTTTGCATGAGAGGCAGGGGAAAGGCCCCTGGTTCAATCCCCAGGGGTGTCATTTGGGCCCTTTCCCCACCCGGAATCGAGATTTTGGGGTGACCAAAAGCTCTGGGCACCCTGCGTCGAGAGTACTGCCAATTGCTGCATTACTGCCAATTGCTGCATTACTGCCAATGACTGCACTACTGGTCATCACTGCACTACTGCCAAGTACTGCACTACTGGTCATTGCTGCACTACTGCCAATTACCGCAGCTGCTAATTGCTGTGGCGGTGTTGTGGAAGTGTTGTGGACGTGTTGTGGAGGTGTTGTGGAGGTGTTGTGGAGGTGTTGTGGAAGTGTTGTGGAGGTGTTGTGGAGGTGTTGTGGAAGTGTTGTGGAAGTGTTGTGGAGGTGTTGTGGAAGTGTTGTGGAAGTGTTGTGGATGTGTTGTGGAAGTGTTGTGGAAGTGTTGTGTGGGTGTTGTGGGAGTGTTGTGGGAGTGTTGTGGAGGTTTTGTGGAGGTGTACTGTGTATCTGCACGCATATAGTGTGTATTTCATGTCGAGTCAAAGGGATTTAGTGTGTATGTACATGGGATTTAATGTGTATTTGCACGGATTCCACGGTGTATTTGCACGCATTTGGTGTGTATGTGATTAGGAAACGTTCTTTTCAATGCTGCTAAGATTCGAATCTGAATTATTGGTCCGACGGTCTGACGGCATTACATTGCTGAAAAGGTGACGATGATGAGGAAGATGAGGATGCTGATACTGATGATGATGATGATGTCGATGTCAAGGGTCTGAAGTAGCCTTGCAACCATCTCCTCTTCCAGGAGCGGTCACCAGTTCTCGCAGCGACGCTCATTGTAATAGGAGTAGTGCAAGGCTATATTATGCGGTATGTTTACTCATTAAGTGTTCGGTTTTATATTGTATCTATTGTGGTTCAGCCGCATGCCATAAAATGAAATTCACGGTAGGCGTTTGGCCCAAGTTTCCTTCAGCATGGCGCCACAAAAGTTGACGCAAGCTCAAATTTTGCGTTTGAGCCAAATCCAGCTGCATGATGCAGTGAAGGATTGGGGCATAGTCCTGCGTGGCATGTTAGCTCGTGCGGTCTACACACAGGCGCTTTTGCAGTGGGTTTGGGTTCTCCAGATCTTGTGGCTTGCAGCCGGCTCTCCGTGCAGCCAAAACCAAAGGTGTTCGGGAGGTTTTTGCAAGTTTTCTGTTTGCCTGAAGGCTACCGGTTCAACAGCGAAGGTTACCAGTTCAGAAGCAAAGCTCGCGAAGAAGAAGGAAGGCGGTGCCGAGGAAGTTTACCCGCGCAATAGCAAACCAAGATTTTCGAACTATATCTTGGGGCCGTGTTCGGGAGGTTTCGTTTGCAAGTCTTCGTTTGCCTGAAGGCTACCGGTTCAACAGTGCTGCAAGCGGTGTGGAACCTTCCGGAGTCGGAGCAGCGGCAACTGTTAGTTGAGCTCCTCGAGAAGTTCTCCTTCAGTCCAGAAGCAAAGCTCGCGAAGAAGAACGATGACTGTGCCGGGGAGGTTTACATACGCAATAGCAAACCAAGATTTTCGAACTATGTCTTGGGGTCGTGTTCGAGAGGTTTTGCAAGTCTTCGTTTGCCTGAAGGCTACTGGTTCAACAGCGAAGGCTTCCAGTCCAGAAGCAGAGCTCGAGAAGAAGAACGAAAACAGTGCCGAGGAGGTTTACACACGCAGTAGCAAAACATGGTTTTCGAATTAGGGGTTTTGGTGACAGGAGAATCCTTTCGATGAGTTCCCTGCAAGCTCACCCGTGGCATCAATCAAGGAGCAACTTAGCAACGGGCAATGCGGAAACTCACAATCAGAAGCTGATTCCCTTTTCTGCGACTTCCCGGGGAATGCAGGACCTCGCGAAGAGCACGGCTTCTGGTGCCAACGCCACTCAAGCTGAGCAACCGCAAGAGAAGGACGTTTTGGGCACTGTTGAGTTCAAGCTTCGGTCTCGGCTTGAGTGTTTCAGACTTGGCATCTGGAGTCTCAGTGCTGCAGACGTATAGTTTCGACTTGGATGCAACGTTGCAAAAGGAGGGCACTGCTGGTCCGTGCGTTGGGGATGACGAGAACCTGGAGCCCAAGAGTGTCCAGGAAAAGGCGCAAGCGTGAACCCTCAACCCTAAACCCTCAACCCTACTTGGAGGCCCTTTTGACTTAGTAAGTCTACTTAGCATCCCTTAGAAATCCTATTAGAAGCTCATAACCCACCTTGCTAACCGTACTTACTGAGTCAAAAGGGCCTCCAAGTAAACCCTAAACATCGCAGGTCTGCACGCCAGAAAAGCGGAAACAGACAGCCGATCCTGATTACCTTTGGACTCCAGCTGACAAACCTGCTCGAACACACCTGTTTCGGAGTGGCAACGTCTCTGGTTGCAAGTACGAGGTCTTCCAGAGTTGCAAGGTGTGTGACCTCGAGAAGTGTCCGAAGTACAAGTACGTCAAGACCAAAGGTCATCACGGTGCGGTTTGCTGGTTCTGTTGGGGTCGCCTCTTTGCGGCACTGTGAAGGCTGTTTGCTTGCATGTCCGTTGTGCTATGTCGTATTTTTCCAGCAGTGCTCTGCAGGCATGACTTTTCACGGCCGAAAGCATCTCGAGCTGAAGAACGCAGGGCGGCTGGAGGACTTTAGCCCCGAGCAAGTCAAAGCCATCATTGCAGAGTCCAAGCAGCTTCGTGAAGAGCACGAGGCAAAAGATGCGGCATTTTGTCGTAAATCTAAGAAGAAAGCCAAAGGCAAGAAAAATGTGCAGAAGAAAGCGGCTAGAGGGAGGCGCCTTAGGAAAAAGGCGCTTATGTCGAAGGCATCCAAAGCAGCACGCAAAGCGTGAATGCTATGTACAGCAGGGTGTGACTGGAGCGTAGCAGGCAAGAGTGTTTTCTCCACATGGGGAGTTGTGTCCGAGAACCTCGTCTCTGCACTCAGAAATATGTCCAGTACAGTGTGCATCCGTGTGAAGGAGCAGTCTTCGATGCAAGGTCTAGGCTTGAAAATGGGGCAGACCCCGTAACCCTAAGCCTTAAACCCAAAAGTCTAAACCCGAAACCGCGCATCCTGCCAAGCATGCATTCGGCAGTGAGTTTGCAGATTCGGACATCCAGCGTGACTGTTGCAGACTTGGAGTTGGGTTGAGACGCTGCTGCAAGCGGGGAGCTTCGATTCGTTGGCTTGGTTGACATTGGTTGAAGTCGAGCTTGCTTGGGAGTGCTGCAGAAGTGGAGTGTGGAGTTGATCTTTGTCGTGCGTAGGTTCGGCAGTGAGTTTGCAGATGTGGACATCCAGCGTGACTGTTGCAGACTTGGAGTTGGGTTGAGACGCTGCTGCAAGCGGGGAGCTTCGATTCGTTGGCTTGGTTGACATTGGTTGAAGCCGAGCTTGCTTGGGAGTGCTGCAGAAGTGGAGCTTGGAGTTGATCTTTGTCGTGCGTAGGTTCGGCAGTGAGTTTGCAGATGTGGACATCCAGCGTGACTGTTGCAGACTTGGAGTTGGGTTGAGACGCGTGCTGCAAGCGGGGAGCGTCGTTGGCTTGGTTGAAGTCGAGCTTGCTTGGGAGTGCTGCAGACGTGGAGCTTGGAGTTGATTTTTGTCGTGCGTAGGTTCGGCAGTGAGTTTGCAGATGTGGACATCCAGCGTGACTGTTGCAAACTTGGCGTTGGGTTGAGACTGCTCCAGATTTAGAGCAGCTGCTTGTGCGTCTTGCAAGCGTGGAGCTCTGTTGCCTTGGTTGAAGGCACGCTCGTGCGCGAGTGCTGCAAACGTTGAGCTTGGAGTTGAGTGTTGTAGGGTTGGGTCGTGTGTCCTGAACTTTGTTGTGAGAGCGGTGCATTGTCGTGGTTTTCTCAGCCGTCGCGCGACAAGGTCAGCGACAAGGCGCGACACAGGCGCGACAAGGCGCAAAGTTGCTCAGCCCACCACTTGCCAATCCATTCCTTAAGTAAGGCTACCAGAGTCGTACAATTCTGTATAGGAAATATCAGGAGTCATGAAAGGTTAAGCTCGCATCCGTTCCGGCGCCATGCCAATAATCAAAACGCCCCAGCTGCGCGTTGCCGCAAAAGAGAAGCCAGTTTTGCGTAAGGCCTTGGTGACCTTGCGCGACCGCTGCACGCCACAGCTTGTTGCAAAGACTTTGTGGTCCGTGTTGTCCAACGTCTTCTGTGTGAGGGTGCAGATGTTGACTGCGAGGACCGGGCGAAGGTTGCAGTGGCAGAAGCTTTGGCACTGGAGGCAGCGGGCAGTTCGCAGGAGGCCACGGGTTCTCGAGCTGTTCTTGCCCGAGCAAGCAAGAAGGTGTTCCGTAGCAGGCAAGCTGCTTCAGGAGCTCTGGGCGTCGCGTTTGGACGCCGTGTGTGGCGACGGCGAGATCAGAATCCCAGGAGCAAAAAAGGCCGTCCCAACATCAAGGATAAGGCCGAAACGAAAATGGAAGTACGCAAGTATCTCGACCAGAACTCTACGCTCAACTCGCATTACATCAAGATTGCCGGCCAGATGACACAGTGCCACTCCCTGCAACGCTCCAAACGCAAGTTGTGGATGCTAAGCCCCGAGATGCAAAAACTCATGTCCTTGTCAACGTGGACACGGCACTTGCGAATGCACCATCGGCAGTACGTCAAGTACAAGAAGACAGTGGACGTTTGTGGAATATGCCACAAGTACGATGTTGTGACCGTGCCGCGTGTGAAGCGCGAACTTCATGAGACCAGGAACCTGCTGTGCTCCCAGAGTCCCACATACTTCGACAACCTGGACCGCTTCTGGGCTGGCATGAAGGCTTCCGGGAAGACAGATCCAGCGCTTGGGCCGCAATTTGCTGACATTAGTGGTGCTTTGAGCATTAGAACCACAGCAGTTTCCGGGAATGTCTGTCAGGACGATACTTGCAGCACTCAGTATGTCAAGGGGACGGTTCAGTACATTGACAAGAACATGGCCAAGCGAGAACGGACTCCAACTTCTCGCGAGCCTGGGAATCTTATTCGGTTGCATGAATTAAGAGAGAAGGAACTGGAAGCACTCAAGATCCTCAGAGGCACACTCGCAACGTTGGAAGCATGCGAGCACCACTTCCACTCGGTGCGTCGCCAGCACTCTTGCAGAGAGAAGCTGGAAGTAGCGATGTCCCCTGGAACCTTGCTCCTTCAGCTCGATTACGCTGAAAACGTCACCATTCCTGTGGGACCTGTCGAAGAGCAATCCTGGTTTTGGGCTACATCAAGATTGGGCATATCAACCTTGGGCATCTATGCTCGCTTTGATCAAGCCGGAACCAGCCATAAACGATACTTCATGATACTTCCATTATGTATCTCAGATATTAGACCACACAGCTTTGCGCGCGTCTGAGGCATTGAAGGACGTCATTCAGCGCCTGAAGCCTGACTTAACAGGCATGGAACACATCATGCAGTGGACTGACTGTGGACCCCATTACAGAGCATATGCCTTCTTGGCCACAGCAGTCCCGTTGCTTGCGCAGTCCCACCGCTGGAGTTCCATCAGCTTCAACTTTTTTGGCGAACATCATGGAAAAGGAAGGAATGACGGACAATTCGGCCTGCAGCGAAAATGGCTAGAGGCTGCTACCAGCAGGAAAGTCATTTCCACGATGGAGCACTTCACTGAGGCTCTGCAAGAAGGTGCCGCGCACACAATGCGAACTGATCCCCCACCTGCAGGCCCCAAGTATGACATTGTCCACTTTCATCCTCCCCAACCGAAGAAGTTCAATTACTTGGATGCAGGTTCGATGGATTTGAAAGTGGAGTACACGTACTGTGTTTGCTTCCGAAAGACCAAGAATAAGCTTTACCCGGTGTTGTTGGACGACTGCACGTACAGCGACCGCTTCATTTCACGCGAGAAGCCTCGAGAGCTCGGAGCACCTTCTCTGATTGTGAAAGATTCAGCTGAAGGGCGGGTCTCACATCGCAAGGACGAGCCCGAAAAGGAAGGCCTGCCGGAGAATTTGCTGCGTCGGCGCCTGGAGCAGCAAAGGCATGCCCGTTCAAGTGAAATTACGTTTCGGCACACACCGGAGATGGAGAGGATTCTGGCCATCGAAAAGGAACAAGCACGTAAAAAAGCCAAGGCTAAGCGAGCACAGGTCGTGTTTGTGCGCCAGTCACAAAGTGACGGCGGCGCCAGCAGCAGCAGCAGCAGCAGCAGCAGTAGCAGTAGCAGCAGCAGCTGACGGAGGAGCCAAAAGAATTGGTTGCTCAAGCTGTGTGTGCAAGTGAGGTCATTTGGCCATTCAGGGGCTTAAATAATTACCTATACTCTTGAGGGGTTGCTTATTCCGAGAGAGCAAGACTCTTTGGAACTGCCCTCCCTTGCCAAATCCGTCCCGGCTAGTTGGTGTTCTGGGAAACCCCACACAGATGTCCATGATGCTTTTATCTCTCGGCGAGGCTCTCGAGCCAGTGTCTCTAATTAACATTCTTTGCGAACTAATTGTTTGTATGCTACTCTGCACAGACACAATGCACATGCACACATGACACATGTACGTGTTCGAGTGCAAGTGCGGTGTAGGAGTAGAGGTACGAAGAGAGCCCAACACCCCTTAATTAAGGAATACAGCTTAAATCATATTATGCGTCCCCTTATAATTTAAAGTATATTCCTTAATTAAGGGTATTGGGCTCTCTGGGTAGGTGATGGGCACTGGCCCGGAACAAGAACACTCAAGACCTCGTAAAAAGAAAGTCAAGAGTGAACGAGTGCTTCGGGGCAGCACGGTAACTAGATCCGTAGATGTCCTGTCTCACGAGTTGCACGCGTTTGCAAGTGCATGCTTTTGCCAGTAGTCAGAATATGCTTGTCTGAAGCCACAAGCCTGACATGTCTCAGTGGAAACAGTTAGACGACGAAACTGCGAATGGCACTGACCGGGAAAGGGTTTTTTGGAAGTTCAGGGATTCGGGGTCTCGTCGGTGATCGCTTGGCTCAGCTTGCGCAGTGCCTTCGTGTAACATTTGCCTCAACCCCGAATACCCTGCGTGACCGAGTGCATGTGCATCGGCAGAGGCCGAGAGGAGAACAGAGCATTGCAGAAATCCTTCAGTGCTTCGGACATAGAAGATCACGACATTGCAGAACTCCTTCAGTGCTTCGGACAAAGGAAACACGACATTGCAGAAAGCCTTCAGTGCTCGGGCGCACTGTGCAACATTCTGGGTTAGTGATTTAGTTGTCTTGTTGGGTTACCTTAGTACTTTCCCCATCCCTGGTTTAGGCGGTTACCGAACTACCCTAAAGGGCTCAAAGGTTGTCGATGTTGGGCTGTCAGCCAGTCAACGTCGACGAAGGTGACGACTGTTTTTGACGGCGACCTTTGAATGCCTGTGATATGGAGCTATCAACAGTACCTGCCAACTTGGATGCTTGCAGGGCCCACCACTGTAGTCTTCACGATGCTCCAGGGTCCCACCACAAGGGCTAGCATCAACACTCCCCTGCCAGAGGAGAAAACCTCACACCCTGAAGCCGACCGGCACACCTTGCACTGCAGCTCAAGGTTTGCTGTTGATGTAGATCGTCTCCAGCTCCAGGCCCATGCTTGTAGAGCAGCTCCGGGCGTCCAGCGCCATGAGTTTGACATACAGACCCTGAGTTGGCCCTGAACTTTAGCCTACAGTAAAAACCCAGGCGGGGAGCCCGGGGAGCAGCGCTAACACCTCCAATGGCATTCCAGGTGGCGCCGAGGTGCTCCACAACAAGTGCTCCATCGTTTTGCTTTCATCGCCAGAACACAAACCAATTGATCATCGCGAAAGAAAATTCTGTGTGGGTGTCCAATTGCTGATTGACGACACACACGCACCCAGCATAGCCAGTATCAGCCAGGGTCAGCACCACTGAACCACGATGGGGCTCCGAAATCCGAAACTGGCTGATACTTGCTGATGCTGGATGAAAATGGCTGATCCTGGCTGCGAATGGCTGATTCTGGCTGAAACTGGCTGATACCTGCTGCTTGATGGTATTGAGCCTGGCTGATTTTGAAACTGACTGATACTGGCTGATGTTTGCCTGATATTCGCTGATACTTGCTGAAACTGGATGGTACTTGCTGATCCTGGCTGAAGCTGTGGCTGATACTGGCTATGAAAATGGCTGAAATTGGAACTGGCTGAGAATGGCTGATGCTGGCCGATCCTGGCTGACATTGGCTGATGCTGGATGGTATTGGCTGAACCTGGCTCATCTCATATTGACTGATACTGGTGGAAACTGGGTGATAGTGGCTGAACCTGATACTTGCTGATGCTGGATGATGTTGTCTGATACTATAACACTTCCACAACAGGGGGACGCCTAACAATGTATATCGGGGGGGGGGGGGGTACAGCATTTGAAGAAATACATTTCTCTGGCCCGGGCCAGATAATTCGATTTCGAGGGGGGGCTGATATACATTTCTGCTGGCTGCCAGAAGTCTGCGATGCAACATGTTTCGAAAGCACTATGCCGCTCGCTTCCTTTGGCGCCGAGGTGGCTTGGACAAGTCGTAGCGGTGCATAGCACGACATCAGCAGAACCGGTGCACAACCACTAGTGGACGACTGGCGTTACCAACAACAACTACTCCACTACTACTCCTACTACTACCACCACCACTACTACGACCACTGCTACATTACTGCTACTACAACTAGGCGGGTTTAGGATTCTGGACCTCCCGGGCGTCGAGATGGGCTGGAATGTCCTTTACCGCAATTATGGCAAAGCATCGAGGCACGACTGCGGCCAGGCAGCACTTATCCGTGTGAGTTCTGTGTGCATTTCCGGATTTGGATACAATAGTGATACAATGCACTGAGTTTGGTACACCTGGTCCAACGGGAGTGGCAGCGAGCACAAGTTCACGAGCTGGTCGAAGGCGTTGCCAGTGTGTTGCCATAATTGTTTTGATGTCCCGACGTGAGGGATGCTGCATGGTCTTGCGAAGGGTTTTGGAAGTTTGGGGGGCTTAGGGTTTAGGGTTGAGGTGCATTCATGGATACCCTCAGGTACCGTAGGGTCTGACGTGCCGGACCCTAGGTCCAGGCATTGGGGGGTCTAGAATGCAGGCCTTCTGCATATTAGACCCTGCTACGCCCGTGCATTCCAGACCCCCCCGAAAATCAGGCTAATTCCTGCGAATAACAAACCAAGTTCCTCATGTTTGCTGCAAGTGGATTTCTCGTGTGGCTGCGACATATGCTGATCGAAGCCGGCGATTCACGATCCAATAGTTCGGAGGCTGACAAGACCAGCCCTTACCAGCGCAGGAGTTCAGAAGTTCAGCATCAGGCAGCACTGTCCACTATAGATTGTCGCAGTAGCCTAAAACCGCCGCAGTGAACATGTGGCAGTGACGCGGGGCCCTCATCATTGCTGTGCAATCACACCGTGCACTCAGCAGGGCTCGCAACAACTTGGGTCTAAGGGCCGGATCTGGGCAGTCCTGGCAATGGCTCACCTGCATGCCTCGACTCTCCGCACCTTGTCTGCGTAGGACTGTGTAGCTACGAGTTCGGAGTGGGTCATGTGCAGGTCAGACCCTCTTGGGCCGCAGGGCTTCGTGACAAGCTCGAGCAGGCGGGGGTCGGCTCGGGTTCTAGACTGAGTTCAGATACATGTCATGTGCGTCATGCATGCCATGTTTGTCTTCCGTTGGGCAGACACCGGTTCGGATTCAGCAGTTCGTGGGATTGACACACTCCTCGCATCTGAAGCTGCTTCAAAAGAGGTATTGCATCTCTGGTCAAGCACCCCGGCAGACCAGGCAACCAAATCTTGAATCCTACTAGCTGCTTGATGCATTTGGGACATTATCTGTGACAGCAGTCAGCCCCTAAGATGTCCGTGCGCCGCCATGATGACAGTCCCTTCGATCGCCTGCGGCGTGCCGTTTCAGAGTTGGACAACATCACTGAGCAGGTCTTCGATTCCGGGCCCCGCGTACGCCTCCGACGGGCGGCGGCGGCGGCGGCTTGAGACCCGTGCTGGATCTCCCGCTGCTGAGTGGCTTCCTGCGAGTCGGCGAGCTGGGCCGATTCGTCGCAGCTTCGCAGGCTGCGCAGCAACAGCCTGGACAGCAGGAGGCAGCCATCTCAAGTGCTGCACATTTCATGCCTTGGCATCGATTCTTGCCTCGCCCTGTTGTGGGGCATTGCAGGCCGCGGTCATCTTTCAGACACCGGTCAGACCTCGTCAGACCAGTTCAACGAGGTCTGACGTGTTCGTGGATGCCGCTCGCTTGCAAAGTCACACGCTAGCATGTGTTCTGTGTAACTATAACTCGTCGTTGCTTGCAGCCGAAGTTGTTGCCAGGACTGTGCCTCCCTGGCATCGCCGGCCAGCACACGTCATTTAGAGCTAGAGGCGTTGCTGGCTTCGTCTCATGCGGTTCCGAATCCTTCAGCAACTGAGCCGCACTGTTAAGCGGTGCACAAACTTATATAACCCTTTTGAATCCTACTGGTCCGCGCTTGGATTGCTGAGGCCAGGGAGTTGGGATTATTGGACAACGATGCCGACAGCGAGGCCTTGGGGCTTGAGGCATGGCTGCCTTTAGGGTTCCATGATGGTGCCCTGTGTAGGTCCCCGGAGATGAAGTTTCGTTGGTGGAGTTGTCGGACGATGATGCCGAGCGAGGCCTTGCGGCTTGAGGCATGGTTGCCTTTAGGGTTCCATGCTGGTGCCCTGTGTAGGCCCCTGGGGATGAAGTTCCGCTGGTGGAGTTGTCCGACGATGGTGCCGACAGCGAGGCTTTGGGGCTTGAGGCGTGGCTGCCTTTAGGGTGCGTGGCCGCGTCCTTGTGCCCTACCTCGACAAGGCCGCTTCGCTGCTGTTGGTGCCTTTGCGGCCCCGGGTGCACCCTTCTTTCTGTGCCTGAGCAGCTCGAGCCCTGTCAGGTATATGCCATAGACCCACACCGTTTCGACGACGTGGAGACAGACCTTGGGCTGCTCCGAGACCTTTACCAGGTTCACTCGGAGGCCGGCTTGCAGGAGGAGGTGGTGCATATGTCGTGGCATGGAGGCAGCTACGAGTTCGGTGGCTTGGCCCGTGAAGCCACGTGCCTGGCTGTTGCCAAGTATCTGTGGCTGACTCGTGGAGTGCATGGTCTTGCAGGCGTGCCCCGACACGTCTACTGGGAGCCGAAGCGCCTTCGCTTCCGTGCCCAGCTGCAGGAGACTAAGG